CTTCCTAAAGCCCCTGAATAAAATAAAAGTAACGACAACTCCTCTTTCCTCCTCCTGCGCCAGCATTCGCACTCTCTTTTTTTGACCATGGCTCCGCCTGCGCGGTGCATAGCTAGCAGACGCTCTGCCCGTCCAACGCTGTTGCCAGGAAGCGTTCGCGCTCGTCAGCTGGTATTTCGGTGAAATTTCTTTTATGTGAAGTTATGTGAAGACTGCCAAAACACAATGGGAGGACATCAACAGATAGACAGACTGAAAAAATTTATTGGAAAGTGTGTTTCGACTTCCTCAAGTCTTTGGACCACCGTGCAGTCTCATGCCCCCACATTTACAGGGGCCATGCAAGCCTTTCGCGGAGATGACATCGGCAGCCCGAGACACCGCAGCAAGCTGCAATGCAGGGTGAGAGGACATCAAAATGTTGCGCTTGGGTGGAGGTGAGATACAACCGTGCGTCACAGCAGCTTTTATTGGACTGTTGACGGCTGTGGATAACTATCGGCGGGATGACACGCCGAGAAAAAACGCTTCGTCGAAGCAACTGGCGCTGCGAAAAAAATCTGAATTTATTAGTAAAGAATACGGCAATTACACACCAGCACCTGCAGTTGAAAACGCATGCGACGTTTTCCACATGAAAAAAATGCCACATGCAGTGGACGTCGGTGTTGCCATGGAACGCGCCTTGTGTGCAAGCCAAGAAGAGTCTTCTAAAAAGCATGCATCCTTCACTATGGTTAACAGAAACGTGTTTGAGAACTACTTCAAGGAAGCCATGGACAAGCATTAAAAATAAACACAAAAATTAATATATGGCTCTTAGAAGGAAGAAAACCTAACGATGTTAGTCAAAAGCGAAGAAACGCCCGCCTACCTTACAGAGTCAACACGGTTTGAAGTCATCCCAACAGACTCTATGCAGCCAGATCTTCCACCGTGGCGCTTCTCGTTTCTCAAACGTAATCCAAAAGTAGCTTGCCATCAGTTTAACGTATGCAATAACTGCAAGTACACTAAAGAAAAATTGCAAACACAGGAGGGCAACAACCAAAATAGAATTTGAAGAAATTTTTGGAAAAGCAGAATTTTACTTTTAGAGCACTAAAATGCAAATTCGGAGCAGGTTGCGGGAAACAGGACATCTATTTTTTATTACAAAAAGACCAAATCTGGAGCAGAGAAGACTTACATTAAAAAAAAAAGTATGTTCAAGGGATTCAACTGCACCTAAATCTTGCAGAGTAAGCATGAGCACTGTCGTTTCAATAAAACTAGTATTCAATCTACCCCACTGAGCAAGCAATGATAAAGTTCACATTACCATTTGCCGCACCTTTCAAATCTTTTGACTGAATCCATGAATTATGATGTAGGCCTGTGAAGCAGGGTACCTTGAAATTCAAAGAATTCGTAAAATTGAGGAGTCGGGGTGGCGAAAAAAAATAAAAAAAACTTAAGCAGTTTTTTTAGGGCGACGGAAGTGTCATACACTGCTCCAAATGATTGCCAGTAACTTTTTCAGACGTCAGGGATCGTACTAGTGCTCACAATTATGCGTTAGTATACACGCATAAGTACCGTAAAAACCCGCGTATAGCCCGGGGTTTTTTTTCTAAAATTTAGGGTGCGAAATTTCAGCCCCGTACTATATGCGGATCCCAAAAAAGTTTCGGCCCGAATTCAGTTTTGGTTTCGGCATTGGTTGGTGCTATCATCATTATTAGGTGTCTGCGCACTTCTACGTTAGGTGGCGTGGTAGCGTGAGCGGCGTTAGTCCTAGAGACCTACAGGTACAGGCGTGCATCAGGCGAGCAACAGTGGCCATTGCAATCACTTGGCGCACATCACGACGGCCACGATTTTACTTCCGTGATTTTAAGCCATGTCGGGACCGCGCAGGCAGTACTCGGCTGCCTTTAAGAGGAAAGTTATTTCTGCTTTCGGCAGTTCGGCGTGAATGAGCGGAGCATTCGCGGTTGGCGGAAGCAGAAGGAAGCCCTTTTTGCATGCTGCGGCAAGAGAAAAAGTTTCCGGGGACCGAAAAATGGAGCATTTCCAGACGTGGAACGAGAACCGACGGACTTCGTTCGGGAGCAACGAGCTGCACAACTAGCTGTGCACATCGAGCTGCTGTAGGCAAATAAATGCATTTTTTCTGTTTTCCTCGAACAATATTCGCGTGAAAATGTTTTTTCTCGCGTTTGCTATCCCCGAGTTACACCTCGAACTATACGCGGGTCCCAACTATACGCGGGTTTTTACGGTAATTGAACAAAATTTGCCGTCCCGTGAGAAGTGCCAACAGCCCCTTTCAAATTGTAATATGCTTTTTTTGCAGGGCACCGGTGTATTGCGAAGAAGGTAGTTCAAGCAGTGTTTTGCAAGAGTTACAACAAGACCAAAAAATTCTTTTTAAAACACTGCTATGTTTCCCCCCACCATCCTTTTTTTTTCTATGATAAGTATTAGGTTTAGGGCCTAATATTTCGGCTCGTTGCAAGGCACATTCTACCAGACAAAATAACAGTGACGCACACCACTGGTCCGGTGACAGCACCGGGTAGCGTCAAGATGCCGCAACTAACGTAACTTTAGGACAAAAAAAATGTTTCATGTGCCGTTGCTAAGCGACCAACGTGGTCGCCGGCAACGCTGGCGTTCGCAGCATGGTGATTCTGTTCGAGCGCGAAAAATGCGGTATGCGCTCCGAGCTCTAGTTGCCAACATAGCCACCTTTGCTGACTAGGAAGTTCATATTTTCCGCGAAATGTTTGTGGCTACGGCAACGAATTTTTGTCTTGAAGTTGCGTCGTCTTGCCGATGGTATCTGTTGTGGTCAGTAGGCCGATGGGCACACGGCTTTGTTACTTTATCTGGTCCTTGACCTAATGGAATCTGGTCCCTGACCTTAGTGCCCTGACCTAATGGGATTAAGGTTAGTGTGGTTAGGTTATTGTGGTTTAAGGTTAAAGTCTGTGCGCTTGGATTGATTGATGACTCAAACTGCAGGTGGGCAACGTACACGGCCTCCATTTCTTGCTGAAATTAGCGCAACTGAGAAAATTTCGAAGCACAATGGGCATTTTGGCAAAGCATCAGCGAATTTCATGGTTTTGGTGCAGCTCGGCACAAAAATGGGGAATCGTATTAAAGTGGCGCAATCGGCGCAGCTGTTGCACCCCTGAAAACACACACGGCCAGAAACCATGCAGCAGAAGTTCGAAAAAGAGGCGCGAGAGACGCTGCATGTATGTGAAGCTCGTCGTGTTGGCAACCGCTATGGAGCTCGAGCCCAAAAGGAACAAAAAACAAGCAATAGAAGACACGTGAGGAGCATGTGATGGCATTCAGCCAATGGGAGCACCGAGCGTCGAGAAAAAGTGCAGGAGAGGAGAGCAGGTGAAAACAACAATACATGTCTTTACTTTTATGATATTCAGGGGCTTCACTACTACCGCCCCCCCCCCCCTTTTTTTTTTCTTTCACCATGGGGTTCGGTGCCACTTTAGCTTACTTGCAAGGCACGTTTCACCACGTAAAGGAACTACGGCACATGCCCATTTGTCTGGCGACGCTACCTGATATCTATCGCCACGACCTGGGCTGGAACAACGCAACTTCAAGACAAAGAATTGTGTGCCATTGCTAAGGCAATCGACGTGGTCACCGGCAATGCCGGCGTTCGCAGCACGTCGAGCTTGCTCGCCCAAGGAAGACGCAGCGTACGCTTCCAGCTTTAGTTCCTAGCAAGCAGAGCTGCGTTTTCAGGCCCCCAAAGTGTTATCGGCCACAGCAACGCATTTCAATCTTGAAATTCCGTCGTCTTGCCGATAGGTATCAGCTGCTGTCGGCGGACCAATGGGCGCACAGGGTTGTAACTCTATCTGGTCTACCGCGTCTTGCGAGCGTAGCCTGCCCTACGCTCACGTTAATATTCTTGGCAAAATCGCTAGGATCTGCGAGCTTTGACCAACTGTGCAAACTGCAGGTGGCCAACATAGCCTGCATTTGTCGCCAAAATTAGCGTACCTGAGAAAATTTGAGGTTGGCTGAGCATTTTGGCGCAGCGTGGCATAATTTCAGCAAATTTCACAGTTTAGGAGCAGCTGGGTGCAACAATCAGAAATTGTATCGAATTGGCTCAATTGACGCAGCTGTTGCATCCCTGTTCGCATCTACACAGGGTTTCCTTTAGCGGGAGATAATAAAATTTTTTTAGAACAGAATTTTTTATTCTTTGCTTGGTCTTCTTCTAATGGTATGGTGAATGAACACCACACTGGTCGGTGGAGCCAATGATGAATGTAGTGCCGGCGAAAGTCGAAAATTGATACCACCTGCAGTTGTTGCAGGCTTCACTAAGGATGCCACTTCGAACACATCTGATAAAAAGGAAAAATTACTCTCTTGCGCAAGATAAAGCAACCTTAAGTGTGTAAAATACGATTTCAAGAGTAGTTATACATGCTTGTTTTTGAGCAAAATGAGTCTACCAGCGAGAATTTCTTGTCCTACCATTAGATTGAACTATATTGCTGTTTGGGGACGCCTAGCGGTTATTGTTTGTCAACTTTCAACAACAAATTAAAATTATAATTTATTTTTTAAAGTACAATAGCGTGTTCGTTGCCGCTGATATGGTGAACAATCTTCTCATTTTCGCCACAATAAGAAAAAGGTTTCTGAGTGGTAGACAGTCTCTTTAACGAAAATTCACAAATAATGCAAAGAAAAAGGAGCAGAAAAGCTTTGTTACTCTCGAGTTTCGATGATCTTTAGGATAAATAATAAACTTAGGTGATTATCCAGCATTGATTTCATTAATGGCCAACTGAAAAATGCTTTTGCTCAATATTCAAATAGGCCAAGAAAATGATGTGACGTAATATTATTACACAAATGATAACAGAATTTCCCATCCATCACTACTTTTCCTAACTCCATCCGAACTCCTATGCCAGCCTTTGTAAACTGCCCACAGGGTTGACAAGCACACGTACCTCCAGCTAGCGACTCATTGTCTTCGTGTCGAAAGCGAGCACTGACAGAACCAGACTCGTGCAGGCACAAGAGGAAGTCGCATTCCCAGCATGGATGACAGCGCACAAATGGTGAACCATTACGCTCCAGAGACATAACCCCGAACACCTGTAAAGCCATGAAAAGAAAGGCCTTTAGGGGATAGCTACAATACTTTTTTTAACAAGGAATGAACTATTTGGTTGCTAGATTATGATGCTCTCACTGCATCATCTAAGTATTCTACACTGACTGAAGTAAGCCTAAAATTTCACGCACAAAATTGTCCCCATGTTATTAAATCTAAAAGCATAAAGCGTGATTATCAGGCATCTCTTGTGTCAGCACAAGAGGCTTGAAACAATCTTCAAACATGCTTATCGTTTGGGCCAATAGCGAGTGGAACATAGAAGCATTACACTTCAGAACAACCAAATAAACTGCCAGGTCTGCGTGCAACGTGCAGCACAGTTGCACCGAAAGCTGGAAAAGCGTCCTTTAAAAGCTCTTTTTAAACACTCTTTGGGTAACTGCCACAACCGCACTTGCAGTGTACCCACTACACCATCAATCATCTAAATTTTCATGTAGTAGGCAGACATTTACTATACCGTCCTTCATCATTCTTTGAAGAAGCCACATACCACTACACACTTGCAAGATATTTTGTTGCAATTTTTTATGCTGTGGCTGACGACGATGAAGAATTATGCGAGAAGCTTTCCTCCACAGGTGGGGTGAGTATGTGCCACAGTTAATAGGTTAACACAAACAAGCTTTAGTAACGATTGGAGCATTCGATGACACGCTTGTGTAGAACAACCAAGGCACAACCAGCCATCACACAATTCACATTGTGTGATGGCTGGTTGTGCCTTGGTTGTTCTAAAACGCCTTATTACTCATATTAACGCAATTCCTTTACCCACATCAAGCTTGCCTAAGGTCAGTTTGGAACGGAGTTTCAAGCACAAGCTTGTAGAATGCTGGGCTGGTACGCAGTGGACCCTGGTTCGAATCCTATCCTGTTTTTGATGTTTTTACATACTTTTTTTTTTCTTACTTTCGCGCGATAGTGGCTACGAATGGCAGCAGACAACTACGACACACGTGACCCTTGTTGTGATCTCCTAACAGTTTTCGCTGTAAAAATCATCTACCTATCTAAATACTTTGTTGCCATGCATGCCTTCTAACTTTTTCTGCAGTAGATTGCCCATTTTGGCCCTTTCTTGTCCCTTTGTCGTCGTCCTGAGCTTGCACTATAATAATCGTCATGAACTACCAACTAGCCCGAATTTCCACACTTGTAGTTGTCACTTGGCACAAAATTTATGGACTACATTATAGTTTTTTTAATATTCTCAGCAATTCCTTATAATGACACAAGAGCTACATTTGTGTCAGCTACACAGATTTACCCTGTTTTTACAGTCGCAACATGGAATGCTCGTACTATGAGGCAATCTATGATTCATTAATGTAGTAGTGCAGTAGTAGTGCTATTCTGAAATATGAGCTCGTCATGCACGAGTTTTAAGGCAAGTCAGTAACCGATTGTGGCATGTGCTAAAATCTACATTTCACCCAAAACTGTAACCGGGAAGATTTTATGACACATGCATACTTATGCAGGCAGAACAAAAGTAGCTATCATTACATTCGAAGACTACTCCAACTCCGCTTGATGCTACTGTTGCCACCAAACTCCATCTCAGTTCAAACAGGACATGAGTACCCAATAGACTATTTACAGTCCTGCATGAAAGATGAAGTGCTGTATATATAGCATGCAAAAAAAAAAAAAAATTCTGTGAAACGAAATATGGCAAAGTAGGTTAGGTGGCATGTGGCGCTGTGATTGGGCCGTATGCTTATGCAACATGGACCAATGAGTAAAGACCCAGTGATATTTGCATTTGCTGGGCAATAGTTGTGATGGCAGGGATAATAAGACGGCAGGGGGTAGCCATCTGCCAGATATCTCTTCTAACAGAGACCCCTATGTTCTCTAAAGACTCAGAGCCAGTCTTCATGACAGTAAACTGGCCACTGGTGAGTAAGAGTAGGGCTTAGGGTCACTTGGCATTCTGGCACAGCCAAGGTTGGGGGTGGTTGATAGAAAAAACAACTCTTGAACTACAGGTCAGGGTATGAAAGACTGTCTAGATGACCTACCAGACAGTCCTATCTCCTGGCCCTTGGCCCAGTTTCGATCCAGCCTCAGCTATTTGTCAACCACACCTCTTCATGCCCTCCCAGCTTCCACCAGAAAGAGCTAACAGCACTGACTTCACAAAGCCTGCCAGTTGAACCCTGATAGATCAATAGCACCATGAGAACATTGCCCTTTTATTGACTTGTATAACATGTCAGTTTCAGGGTTTAGCATGCAAGGTAGCTGTTGCAAGCAAGGACTGTGGATGTTCACAACTTTTTATGAAGGTTTCAATCATGTCAATCATGGCAATCAAGGCTCAGCTTCTTTTCGTGTGTACTATGTCCCGCCACACTTACTTTTTTGCAAGTATATCTGTGTGCTCTGTAACGACACCCTTGGCTCGTGTGGCCTTTAGTGCACCGACATCTATCTGCAAGTGTAAACAACCACTGCCCTAGACATGTGACAATGAAAAATAATGACAAAAGGTATCCTTGCAGTCCAGAATGATGAGAGCCTCTTTGTTAGACAAAGAAACAGCTACATTTAGATAAAATTATTCGGCCGCTATAGTGTGCATGCGACAAGCTTTCATATAGCTTTTTCACTCGACTATGTGCTTGACATTCCCTGTATTCTCAGGCATCATCCTCAGCAGCAACAAAATCAAACGTACTGGTACTTATTTTCATTTGGGACAACTCCATTCAGTCTTTCATGCAATGCTACCGAGGTCTGCTGATTTGGAGCAAAAATTTTGAGCAGCAAAATTTGCATTTTGGAGCACCTTGGAGCAGTAGAATTTTCTATTTTAGAGCACTTTGAAGCAGCGAAATTTTCCATTTTGGCACAATTTCGAGCAGCTAACTTTACATCCTGAAGGAGAAGCGAATAGCATTTACATTCAAGAACATGAATAATTATCTTGGACACATGGCACCTCCTTGCCCGTTGGATCTTTTCCGTTTTTATTATGTCGACCCCCTCAGCTTGCTCTCTCCCACCCTCCCCCTCGTTGTTTTTATTTCTATATTTGTATGGTATGTCCCTCGTCGTAATTATCTGTGCGCCACAGCGAGGTTCAAGAATGGCACGAGTGTAGAGACATCGCAGCTGACAAGCACACAGTGAGCGAAGGTGGTGAAACTGCTCGCACCAACCAACAGTTGCTTCCTACAAATATGAAACTTTAAGGCCCAACTCCAAAGACACGATTTTCGAGCGAAAATGACAGGATTTGTTGTCGCCATCGTGTCGCAGCTTTCTGAAAAACCAGAAAAAATCGCTCATAGCACCCCTTATTATAGCAATATAGCACCCCCGATTCTTGCTTCAGTTGCAATTAGCTCTTCATGCTTGTTATGAGGGGGCATTCCACTGTCCCACAGATGATCACTGTAGTTCATTCCTTTGTGTCAACTCCTGACAAAAAATGAACAAATCGACATAACTTTTCTTGAATTTCGAAAAGCTTTCGATACCGTCTCTCAGGATAAATTAATTCTAAAATTTAAAAATGCCGGAATTCCAGAATTGTTTATTCGTTGGGTTGTTGCATATTAGTCAAACCAGAGGAAAATCGAGCTCCCTTCCAGTCCCATCAGGCGTGTCAAAGGGCAGTGTCTTCAGCCCTCTTCTTTTTATTATATATATTAACGACATTGTTAACGTGGTCAAAAATAGTCAAACGTGGTCAAAGCCACCTTTAATCACATCTTAACATAGTATGACCACATAAGTAATATTAGCACCTCAACCTTCAGAAAATTAGGTCTTCTGAGGCACAAACTTAAAAAAAATCACCTTCCGATGTAAAACTGCAATGCTATAACACCTTAATCAGAACTAAACTAGAATAAGCATGTATCGTTTTGGATCCGTATACTAACCCCCGTATTCACAAACGTTCCTGGACTCGACTTTCACCCTTCACTTGACAGAGTTGAGCACTGCGCCGCTGCTCGGCTGAAAGTGACGCTACGGTACTCAAGAATCACCGCAGATTATCGCTGATATGCAGCGACTTTCCCTGTTTAGAGTTGGCGCTGCCATCGGCCTTCTCAAGTGAAGGTGAAGCGTTGAGTGGAGGGACGTTCTAGAATATTGGGGTTAAACTATTATCAATAACCTCGAGAGAGTGCAGCGAAAGGCTGTTAACTTATGAAAGCTAACCATACTGAACCCGCCAAGATGAGAAGACCGAAGCAGAGACTGGAATTCTTGAAATACGTGAACAATTCATCACTTGACTCATCTCTATACCTATCACCCCTATTAATTCGATCCACGCGTCACCGTAGACAGGATGAATTAACACCGAGAACAAACACATTTAAGAATTCTTTTTTTTATTATACATCATAATACTGACTATTACTGCTTTGTTTTACAGCATTTTGCCAAACATATTGCCACTAGTTCTGTATTATTCTTCTTGTTTTGTTTGTTATTTTATTTTCTTCCCCTAAAGATGTTCCCTGTTGTACCATTTTATTGCTCTCCCTGCTTGGACTACATTTCCGCAGTATTTGATAAATAAAAAATTAAAAATCTGTGCACACTTTCAAATAACCCATCTTTCTGGCGGCCATGGTGACCTGGACATGTCACTGTGGCCACCATGACTGGGTGTTGAGACACCAAGTGCACTCTTACTCGAACACATAGAGCAAGAAACTGTGACATCGGATTAGTGCCGGTGCCCCTCGTGTTCCCTTGTGTTCACCCTTGGCACGGCTGGTGAACAGAAGAAAGGAGGGGCTGAATGACTGCATGTCCTCCAATGCACCAACACACTCTAATGAGATAAAAAGTCATGGTCACTATGTCTGAGTAACCAGCATCGAGAACCTGTCTCTGACGTCACATGAACACTATGGATAGGCTACTTCTTCTACAGCCACTTTTCATGAAGACAGCTATGCAACGGCCGTATTTTGTCGTTGACCTTGTAATAGGTGGTTTATTTCGATGCTTTGATGGTAGCTTGCTGCAATGTTGGTTACTTGCTGCAATGCCAACAGCGTTGTCGCGATCATCATGTGAGGTTGCTGCGAAATTGGCAAAGTGTGTCATAGCACGCACATCTGAGCACCCCTCGGGATCACAGCAGATACCACTGTTGCATTTAAATGATTGCGGGAAAAGAAAGCCGCGAAACGCTTTTGTGGAGTGTGCGGGCAGCACAGGGACAGCTTGCAGAAAATTGTGCCATCAACCACCGAAGATGAGTGATGTGCAACAAAGAAGCTGTCTACACACAGTGTACATGCATGCGAATTGCAAAAGGTTAAGCGACCAAACTTTTGTTTTGTATTACTGTGTTTCTATGCACCCCAAAAAAGTTTTCACAAAATTTGCCCCGCATATTAAACGTGCCCCCCAACATGGCTTTGGTTTTTTCTGAAAAAAAAAAGTGTATTCATTAGGCAAATATATATGGTAACTGAAAATGATCAAATTAACAGGGATCTACTGTAATGCTTTTAGGTAGTAACACTTACAGAGTGCAACAGCCAAAATATAATTTGGAGCAACTTATAGACCAACAAAATGTCACTCCTGGAGCACTAAAATCCCAATTTGGAGCAGGTTACACAAAAAAAAAAAGAGAAAATGTTCATCATGAAAAACTTAGTTTGGAGCAGTATAAAAAAAGATGACATACATTTAGAGAAAAAATATATGTACAAAGCATTCAACCCACCCAGATCGTGCAAAGTGAATATGAGCTGTGTTATTTCAATTGAAGTAGTATTCTGAGTCATCCCACTGAGCAAAAAATAAAATCCACATTAGCATTTGCCACACCTGTCGAATCCTTTGACAGATTCTGCGAATTCAAATGTGGCTTTGCCAAGCTAGCAACCTTGCGATTAAAAAGTTTTTTTTTTATTATTTAGAGCAATAGAAATGTCATTCGCTACTCCAAATGATTGCCAGTAACTGTTTTTAGATGCCAGTGATGATACTAGTACTCACAATTATGCGGCGCGTACAGGCATGAGTAATTGTGCTGTGTCCCGTGACTAGCGCTAACAGCCCCTTTCAAATTAAAATACACTTTTTTGCGGGACACCAGTGTACTTTGGCGAAGGTGGCTTAAAGGGGCCCTGCAACACTTTTTAAGCATGGTCAAAAAACGCAATTGGTAGTAGAGGCTCCCGACAAAGCGCGAGCCAAACATTATATCACAGCACATGGCCTGGAGTTCACAATAAATTATCAAAGTCAGCTAAAAATTGCTTTCTCTTCACTTGACAAGTGACGGAAGGCGCTCAAGAATCACTCGTAAAAAGCCCACCTATTAGCCATTGGCTCGTTAGAACATAGCGCGCTTAGTCGTTAGAGAGACCGCCACGGGAGGCCACGACTTGTCTATGCGCACGCACGCAATCACACTGAAGAAGCCGCACGTTCGAAGAAAAAAAGAAACAAAACAAAGTGCTCAAGGTCACAAGGCGTGGGTGACGTATTTTCATTGCCCTGCCATCCCTCCCTGCTTAGCTTCCAGCGCTTTCGTTGGGACAAGAGAAGAGAGAATGCCAGCATCCGACAAATATTTAGAACTCCACTCGCACTGGATGGATTCTTCAAATTTTTGCGGCATCGAGTTCATGAGGCAATAAGCTGGTTACTGAAAAAGTGGTTACTTACAATGGTTACTCAAAAAAATGTTTCACGGCCCCTCTAAGCAGCATTCTGCGTCGATTAGAACATGGCCAAGCAATTTTCGAATTCGAACTGCGACACTTCCCCTCACCTCTTCAGAATTCCGCCCACATGCTTTTTTTTTTTTCCACAGTGGGGTTAGGTTTAAGGCATAACTTTTTGGCTCGCTTGCAAGACACGTGCGACCAGATAAAGTAACAATGGTACGTGCCTGTTGTCCCAGCGGGGGATATCTATTATCCGAACGACACAACTTCAAGCCAGAAAAATGTTTCTTTCATGTGCCGCTGCTATGGCAACCAACGTGGTGGCTGGCAATGAAAGCGCTCGCAGCACGTTGACGTCGTTCGTGCAGAAAATGTAGCATACATTCTCTAACATGCCATAACAGTGTTTGAAGAAAATTCATATTCATATTCTGCGTTGATGGCTATGGCAACGCATTTCTTCTTTTTTAGTTTGAACTTCCATTGTCCTGCCATGTATCGACAGTGGTCAACAGACCGATGAAAGCGCGGCGTTTTTTACTGCAGTACTTTGCCAGATTGATCGCATCTCGTGAGTCTCCTCACCTAACAAGTATATACCGTCTGCACGCTTGGTTTGATTGACGACGCAAAGAGCAGGTGGCCAATGTGGCCTGCATTTCTCGCCAAAATCAGTGCACCTGAGATAATATTGAGACTGGTTGGGCATTATGGTGCAATGTGGCACAATTTCAGAAAATTTCGTGATTTTGGCACAGCTTGGCCCAACAATGGGGTAATGTATCAAAGTGGCGTAGATGTTGCACCCCTGAATTTACACAATCTTGGAGTTTTTCTGAAAGTCAAAATACAGTGACTACAAACCTGTTGCACTTCAGTGTCCACTATAAATATCCTTTTTGGGTAAACTAGGAAGAGCTGATGCCGTACGGCTCGATGGTAACACAGCTGCAAACACTCGTTGAGTAGAAGTGCTTCTTCAATACTGTTGAAAGAACAAAACAATGGTCTTTAAAAAAAAAGGTGTTGGTTTTTCAACACAAACATTTTTCACTTTCTTCTGCATCCAACAGTTTGTCACAAAAAAAAAAAAGGAAAGGCTACTAGATGTAAGGTAGCCCCAGGTATTGAGTAAATGTCATCCACGCATATTGGTGTCAGTAATTATCATTAAAAAGCACAATTGATACAGCTTATTTCTCGATTACCAACAAATTTCTCAAACTTTTAGGTCTTAGAGTCACAAAAACTCAGAAATTTTTTTAAATAAAAAGGAGCAACCTCTTAACACATGTTCAAAAAACTAATGAGAAACCAGTGCACGTCAAAAAAGAATTATTTAAAACACTTTAAAAGACACTTTTAAAATGTTAATCCTTAGTATTTAAAATATTACACCAATTGAAAAAACCTACAGTTAGCTTCAAACATAAGAAAGATGGCTAAAATGTATTGGCACGTTGGTTTATCATAATAAGCTTGAGTAGCACGATTGAACACGGAGAAAAACACGGACCAACACATGCATGCACACAGCACTGATTTTCGACTGGAAGCATTTATTTTTATGAGCCCATGACGCATATATATACAGTTCTGGTCAAAAGTTCCAAAGCCACGCTTTCACAAAAATACTCGGGATAGTGGCTGGGGAACTTTTGACCCTTTCCCCCGTGCGAGTAGGTGAAAACAAAACAAGAAACAAAAACCTGAACCTAAACGCACACGTTTTGCCGCAATCACAACCAATTGACACCTAACTAGGCTAAAGAATCGAGAAATCTAATTTCCTTATCTGGCTGTGACAAGGATAACGTGCTGACAAACTTAACATTGATTTTATCTATTTCACAGGCTTGAAAAATTTATTTTGTCAATCTACCTTATGAGCTGCTCAGGGGTAAAAGCGGGCTTCAGTCTTTTGAAGCAGCTCAACGTGAAGTAATAAGTAGCTTTGGACCAATAAAAGGGGAGTTTCGGAGCAGATTTTTGAATTCAGACACAACTGTTAATTCAATTTTTTTTTAATTTGTAGTAAGTATGGAGTTCCTGTTGTTTGCAGTTAATATGGAATGCTGATAGGCAACCACACACCAAGAATTTATATATATAGGCGGGTGACTTAAAATGTGTTTTATTTTTCTGGTTCTTTTTTTAGTTGTATGCTAAAGACTGTATAGTTCAACTAAACAAGATTGTTTTACTTTTTGATATGTTTTACTTAGCCTGCATGGACCATGTGTCCGCAGTATGTATTATTGCGATAGCAATTATATAGACACTCTCCGCGAAATTTTGCCGCCGACGTCGGCATCACTCACCATATATGTATACGTATCTATATATATATGTAGATACAAGAAAGAAAAATAATCGAAAAATAAAGACTCTGGCGCGCAGAACAGAACGTGGGACCTCTGCGTCGTGAATGCGAGGTGTTAACTATTGAGCCAGAGCACCTCCTTGAATGTTCAAACGGCAAGCTATCTATATCTACCACTTGCCGCTGTTCAAGACCATTTTGGGAGGAACTATCGTGTTTGCAGCATTACCAGCAAAATGGCGCAATCAGCGCGCATCGCCAAATCGTCATGACGAGGCCACGAGCGCTCTCATCTTCCACGCGTACTTTGCCTCGCGGTGCGGAGAAGGATGGATGCTCACTCACGCGCCCTTATCTCGCGGTAGGTAGAATCGTACGCCTTGACTGGCCTTTAGATTTCACCAGAACAATTCTGTTATAGTTACCGGGCGCACAAAGGTCACTGCAATCGTTGCACAGTCTCCGTTTCAGAAAAGGGTGCGCTTTTTAGACGGAGTGAAGTAACAACTGAGGTGCTTATTCGCGTACATCTGTACCTGTGAATACATTTCCTGCGTTATTTGTGCGTGAGAAATGTGGAGCACATTTTGATCTGCTGGCCATTCTGCACACGACTTTCCAATTTGTTGCTGTCGCGTTCATTGCTTCGCCTTTGCGACAAAGCTGTGACTTGATATCATCACATTGCTTTGATGAGTAACTCAAGGGACGAATTACAGCTCATGAAAACTGAACAAGCAAAACAGAAAAGTAGGCCTGAAAATTGATACGCATAAAACTAAAGTGATGTGCAAGTCTTGCCAGAAAACAGCACTTTGTGATAAGTGGAGAGTCGTTGGAAGCCGTAAAGGAATATGTCTATTTATTACAGGTAGTAACAGTGGAGCCGAACCATCAGAGCGAAGTAACTACAAGAATAAGAATTGGGTGGGTCTCATTCGGCAAGCATTCTCAAATCGTGAATGGTAATCCACAACTAGCCCTCAAAAGGAAGGTATAAAACAGCTGCATTTCGCCAATACTATAGTGCCTAGAATATACTGGCTGGTGTGCCGTTTGCCAGCTCTTTTCAATGGAAAAAGGTGGCACCAATTTGGATAGATGCCCATGGTGGCCGCGGGAAGCGCTGCAAAGTGGGAGGGTGCCGACAGTGTATGCCGTCTGCTCTGCACAGCCGATTTGTAGTGGCTGTGTGGATTTTCGTGTTCGTATTTTCAGTGTTATTACCGGGTTGTGTTTGTTGTTCATGTCGACAAAGGGTGAGTGAGCGGCTGTCGTGTTTCTACATGGAGTGTGAAATCCAGAGCGATCGACGAAAAGGACCTGCTTTGTACCGCTCTGTACTACTGGTTATACCATTCAAACTAATAGCGAATATGGTTATTCATGACACCATCACACGAAGCACATCTCGCAGAATGAGACGAAGGATAGAGAAGTGAACAGAAAACTGTCAAGAAAATTGTTCTTCTCGGTGACTTTAACCTGCCGGGAGTAGATTGGCAAGGCATTGCTGCCAGTAGCTCATATAATAAACACGTTAGAATTATGTTCGATATTATGTTAAGGTATAATTTAATGCAGGTAGTCCATGAACCAACTCGTGTACAGATTTCATCTAGCTCTGTGTTAGAACTGGCGTTTATCAGTCGTGATTTTTCTGATTGCACTGTAGAAGTGGAGCCAGGGCTCTCTGATCACCATCTCGTAAGCATATCATTACCCCTTCAACCACTTAAAAAGTATAAACACGTCCCTGCACGTTCTTTTAAGGACTTTTCTCATGCCAATTGTGGTGATAGCGCCCAGGCCCGTCAAGTGTCCGCGTTATCTGGCGCTGTCGCCCGTAATTGTAAAGTGTCGTTTGTACGTGACGTCATTGGTCACATGAGTGTCTGCTATATATGTATGCTGGTTGCATGGAATAAAGGTTGGACGTTATCTCGCGCGCATCGGAAGCGGCTCTGTCCCTTTCTCAGCTCCTGCGGCCGGCCCGGATGCGCATGGCCTTTCGCTAGGGCGCAACACGACATGGTGTCAGAAGTGGGATTCTTCTGATATTCGAGGGGCGTTGCACCAGTCTTCGTCAAGTGGCGCCATGTCAGAAGACAAAGAAGTCAAGCCAGTTCACGGCATGTTCGCGGTTCCAGCTCTGCCAGCGTTTGACTTCGACCGAACGTCCGAATGGCCCTCCTGGATCCAACTATTCGACGACTACCGCTTTGCCTCTGGCTTAAATGAGCGAAGTGAAGAAGCGCAAGTCCGGACTCTACTCTACACAATGGGCAGGCAAGCGAGAGAGATCTTTTCGACCTTCACACTATCTGAACAACAGCAGAAGCAGTATGAAGTCGTCAGAAAAAAGTTCGACGATCACTTCATGGCCGCACGGAACCTCGTTTACGAGCGCGCATGTTTTCACCGACGCATACAACAACCAGGCGAGTCAGTCGACCAATTCATCACTGCGTTGCATACACTGGCGGACCGGTGCGACTACAAGGAAAAGGAACCCATGATCCGCGACCGGTTTGTAGTCGGCCTCAGTAATGCCAAGCTCTCGGAGTCTCTGAAAATGGATGCAAATCTTACACTCGCCAGCGCTTTGGCAAAAGCTCGCTTGAAGGAGACCGTCCAACGACAGCAGCAACAGCTACGAGAAACCAGCGACGAACCTTCGGCAGCGCCAGCCAGCAACCTGGACGCGGTCAACAAACAACGGGAGCCCCGAAAGAATTCTTCAGGACAGCGTTCCGGCACCTCGTCAAGGACCAGTGCACCGGTCACACAAGGTCAACGCACTAGACCACAGTCCTACCGACCTCTCACATCCAGTTCATGCCCGAACTGCGGTCAAGGAGAGCACCCGAGGACCTCCTGCCCGGCACGAGCTGCGAAATGCAACTACTGCGGTTGTTCCAGACATTTTGCAGTGGTGTGTCGGAAAAAGGCTGTAGGCGAGCGAAAGAAGGTACAGATTTCTTCTCTCCATATGGAAAAAGGGGCGTATTTCGTAGGCGCGGTAAATGGGGAGCACTCCAATTCTCGGTATGCTCAAATTATCATTAACGGCACTCCGGTGTTCGCTAAACTTGACTCGGGTGCAGAAGTGTCCGTTGTACCCTCAACATTTCCGGGATTGCCTACCAAATTAGACAAGTGCGACATAACCTTAACAGGGCCTGCGAATGAGCCACTGCATGTTCTCGGAAAATTTCTTGCCACTATACAGTGGAGACAACGCATTGTCCGACAAACTGTTGGGCTTGTCGCTCGATACTTTTGGGTCTCGCAGCGCTCGAAGCCCTTGAGCTGATCAAGTTCGCTGACTCGGTCAGTAGCGCAACAGCCATCGAAGCTTCCTACCCTCAGCTTTTCGGTAGTCTGGGAGCTATGAAAGGGGAATACAATATCAGACTGAAGCCGAACTCGGTACCCTTTGCTATTCCGGTTGCGCGTCGCATTGCCTTACCCCTGCGGGACCGAGTGAAGCAGGAGCTCGAGCGTATGGAGCGAGATGACGTAATCTGCAAAGTAGACGAACCAACAGAATGGTGCGCAGGTACTCAACCTTCTAGAGACGTTCGTATTTGCGTTGACTTGACGCAACTAAATAAAAGTGTACTTCGCGAGCGCTATGTTATGCCAACGGTTGAAGATAG